TTGTAGTCTGTAGAGATTTCCTTTTTGATCGAAAATCTTGCGTGGTTGTTTCCTGTGGACGGATTTTTGCTCCGAACTTCCGTCGGGATGATTGCGAGCTCTCTTTGCAATGCTTCTGCTAAATTTCCGGTGTGTGATTCGTTTGATTTCTCTTTCTCTTTGTTGTTGTTGTTCTTCGTTCTTCTTTTCAGTTTTGCTTCTTCAATTACTTTGTCTTCTTGTTCCCGAGTTGTGAATACTTCCTAACTCTGGTTTTTGTCTTCTTTCTATGCGTGTCTATGCTAAACTGTGAATGATTGTAGTATTGATTTGTGGATTTTTGATAATTGTGCTATTCGTTTCATTATTTATCATAATCTAGTTATACTGTCTGGTTCATTTCATTTATTTATCTTAATCTGGTTATACTTTCTGGTTTCCTTCTATTGATTATTATGTTCAAGATATTAAATTAAGGGGGGTAGGAAGATTCTGTACGCAAATTACATATTCTCTTAATTTAATCCATGCGCGGTGTGAATTTGTTTATTTTATTTTTATTTTTTTAAAAAAAGAGGACAAAAATTGTTTATCTGGGCCCACTATTTCATTTATATCATCTTCTTGGTTTAAAATACTTATTCTGGATTCCAATTACCCAACACTTTTACTTTTGTCAAAAAGTATATGGAAGAAAAAAATTACTGGTGTTCTCTCGTTTCTTATTCCAATGTCTCCTTAGCTGTAACTTTGTTTGTGTATTCATGTCTTGGGTTGTCTTTTGTGGTGGAAGATTCACTGTATTGCCTTTTTTAACTGACAGAAAGTGCCAAATTCTGATTAAAAGATGCAACATTTAACTGTATGTTGGCTAAAATGCTCAGTGTGAAAAGCCAAATCTAGATCCTTTCCATTTGGAGATGAATGGCATGGAGATGTTTGTGTTTATTTATTTAGTGCATGTATATTGCTGTCGTCGTTGTTAACCTATTAATCTAAATTTAGTATCCCTCTGACCCTACTCTTTTCGTATTATTATTGTTAATTGTGCTTACTGTTTGCAATATTATATTCGTTGGATTGGAGATCGTCATCAAACTATGGAACTTTTGTCTACTTGCATCGTTTTGTCTTCTAGTATTCAGTATTATTATCGATAATGGTTGTTAATGTAGTAGATCAAATGGATCATATTATAGTGTTTTTTTAGGGTGTTGGTTTGACCTTTGACCATGACCATGATAGCGTTTTGTTAATAATTTAACAATCCAATGTGATATACATTATCTGCATGCTGTCTGAAGCTCTGTTTCCAAGTAATAATGTTTTGTCCAATCTATGGGAATGCATTTATTTCAAGGTTATGGAGGTCGGAGATTTATTTCTTGATCGTAGAATTCATTTGTTAACAAAAGTTAAACATTATATATTTATATGCAAATACACACGAACTTAGGCATTTGAAAATATCCCTATCTTTCTCCCACTCAATATGTATGCATATATATATACTATCTTAAACCTGTGGGAGTATACCTGCGTTGTTTCAGATTTTCTCAGTTGACTTTCATTGTTTGAGATCTTTTATAGATCAAATTTCTTTTTGGTAGCTTTGTAATATCTTTATTCCCTTTTATAAAATTGCTCTATTTTATATGGAAATAAAGTACTCATTCAGACTTGGATATTTGTTGCCTATGTTCTTTGCATCTTGACTGATTGAATTTGATCTCTGTCCAGGCAGAAGTGATGGAGGTAGAAACGATGATGGAACATAAGAGAAGTCTATGCTCTGTTGATGAGAGCAGTCTCACTTCTCTTACATCCAAGCGACACAAGACTGGTTTTTCTATCTCCTCTAAGGTCACATAGCAGAACATTGAACATTAAGATTCTCTAATAATGATAAATAATCTATGCTTAGTAATATATGCATGTAGTAAGTTTTGGGCGGTCCATTAGACAACATTTGGTGGTCTTCTGATCACTTTGTGTTTGGGTGGTCCAGTTGTATTTCATTATTTTTTCAGTTGATTTGTTCCCATATCGTCCTGTTTTGTTCTTTACGATATGCTCTGCCCCTCCATCCCATAGGTTTTCCAATTTCTAATATTCTCTTTCTACAGGAGAGGAAAGACAAACTGGGTGAACGAGTTTTGGCCTTGCAACAACTTGTTTCACCATACGGAAAGGTTTGTTGTGAACAGATCAAATATTCAAATATTTTAAAATTTTCAGGATAATGATAATGAGGATTTATATGACCTGGACCAAATATTATTTTGGCTCTTGAAATCCATAAACCTATGTTTTATGATTTTACTATCATTATTAAAATCATTGCCTTGTTTGAATTCAAATTGAACAATTTCACTGCAGACAGATACGGCATCTGTTCTTCTGGAGGCAATGGAATATATCCAGTTCCTTCATAAGCAAGTCAAGGTATGGTCTTCTTGCTTGAAGTTTGTTCTTTTTGAATTCTGATTTGGGTACCAGATATGAATGGCTATCATGTCATGCATATAGCTTTTCTATGACCTGTATGATACTTTTTCCCTCCTTAAATTCCTTCAAATTGGTCCATTGAATATATTTCTTTCTCAGTTCCATACTTTTCCTCCGACACTAATTAGTACTTGCATGCAAAACCTTTTGAGCATCAATCAGTGGTTAAAAATTCATTGGATATTTTCGGTGTATTTGATATCAGTTCGGTTTATGTCTCTCTTCTCTCTCTCTCTCTCTCTCTCTCTCCCTCTACTGGACTTTGTTTGCTGAAGTATTCTTATATGCCTATTTTAGTTTTAGGTATTTATTCATTGTGTCCCTTTCTTCCATCATTTTCTTCTCCTTCATCAGCAATGAAACAATAGCTGCGATATTGAATCAATTATTTATTTATCATCATGTTTGCCTGTTTTCAAACGTTGAGGTATTTATTGTCCATTACATGAAACTGGTGTAGTATTGGATAGCGGAGGACTAGAACAGAGAAATTTATCGACATCCACCAGCATTGATCTATGACAATAGACTGAAACTTTGTCTGCCACTTCCAATGAACTTTACTATGTATCTGTACCGGCTAAAACTCTCAAGTGTCAGTATATATTCCCTTACCTTATTTTGGCGTGCTTTCAGGTGTTGAGTGCTCCATATCTTCAAAGCACACCCACTGTTCAGCTGCAGGTGAGCCTAGGCTGGACCTTTCGTTTCATGATTTGACTAAAGTCTGTTTCTTCAACACTTTTCCTGAAAGAAAAAGAAAGAAGTAGCGTTTGTTCCCTCAGGGAAATTTAACTAAGTGTGTTCCTTAAGCCTCCACAGTTGTTTTAAAACTAGAACCTATCTATCTTTCATGTTCAAATTACTGAGGAGAGGAGGATGAAATTTTGTGCCACTGATAGAGTAAACGTTTTCACTGCTTTAAGTATTGGATTCAAGTCTGAGTGATGCTCCAACATCCAGAAGTAAAATCTTTTTGGACATTATTATAATAGCAAGGTTTATATTCATTGTTGTTAGGAGCAGGAGAAATGCAGCCACAGGCTGAGGAGCAAAGGTTTATGTCTCGTTCCAATCTCGTGTATTGCCGGAGTTGCAAGCAGCAACGGTGCAGATATTTGGGCTCCTGTGAAGACAATTTCCCCCAAATTCGAGAACGCGATCTCGCCATTCGATTGAGCATAAATCAACGCTCAGCAGCCAAATGGTTCGGAAGTCGCTACATACAGTTGGTAACAGGGGTAACTACTTATCTTTATATCTAATTTATAACAATTTTCCCTCTGGAAGTAGATGATTTATATATCAAATACTTTAGCATGGTGCTTGGAAAAAGAACAGTCGAGTCTTCTGATTCCAAGTTCTGAATCACCACACCATTCTTGCTAACTGGTGAGGGGGGGTATAGTTCATCGCTGTAGTATTAGTGTATTTGGTGTTTTAAATGGTGGAAATGTGTATCATATTGTAAACGAATTATATGATGATCCCAATTCAGAAATTCATGGTAGAGTAGCATTTGTTACCTACCTAGAAAAAGAGCGGCGGTTTTAATAGCCAAGTTATGTTTATGTTGATGCTATACTAGTTCTATTCCCTCCAATCTTCGACATATGGCTATTTTGTAGCTTGGTTTTGAGCGTTTTTCGTTGACTTTGAGTGACTTGTTATGTATTTTGAAAAGTTTATTTTTTACGTTTGAACCCTAAAATTTATTCTAGGAAACGCATTTCGACATTAATAATATTTAGAAGATTAAAATTGTTGTTACTATTTAGCTCACTTCAAAACATATATATTGTCATAATTATTTAAATCAATTTGTTAGTGATAATGTGTCTGATCCATCTCTACAAAAAAAATAAAAATAAAAAAATAAATAATATGGAGCACTCAACACCTGAAAGCACGCCAAAATGTGCGATTGTGACATCTAGCGCATCCAGCCCAATTATCACGAAACTCCTCTATGAGTTCACATTCGAGACTCATAAGTTCTTTGTTTATCCTCCAAAGATTTGTACCACATGACTAAGATAAAAACATAGTTATGATACCACTTGTTATAAATAACAATTCTCCACATATTTACAATGATATGATATTGTCTACTTTAAGCACAAAAATAAAACGATTAATAAAAGTTTATATTATTTGATTGAATGAACATTTTAATAATTTTTTTCTAATAAATTTCACCGTAAAAAACATAAATATAATTTTTCACACTAAGACGTAACTAATGTTGGGTGTTAGACGAACACGATTCTCTATAATGATATAATATTGTCCACTATAAATGTAGGTTCCCATGGCTTTACTTTGGGCTTCCCGCTCACGTGACTTTGCTTTGGACTTCCTCAAAATACTTCGTACCACTGGAAAAAAATATTCCTTGATTATAAACGCATGACCATTGGGGGCGGGAATTTCATCATTCAACAATTTGGAGTATTTAGGATTTTTTTTGTTTTTTTTTGTTTTTTTTTGTTTTTTCGGTTCGGCTGGCGATCATTTCATACGTAATACGATAACCTAATAAAAGAGATTTCTTTCCTCGTTCGCCGGTATCGGTAGAAACATCCACTCTGTGAAGTCGTCGGAGCTAATTTCATCATCACCCTCACCCTTCATCCAATCATTCTTCTTCTTACTTGTACGAATTTCGTTGATCTTCAATAATTTCTTCTCAGATTCTCATGGCCACCTCTCAACAGCCACCAGCTTTGCAGATTTTGGGTAACTTTTCTTCTTCGGTTTTATACTTTCTTTTAGGTCATTTTTTCCTCTTGCAATTCTCTCATCGTAATCTTCCTCCCAGTTCGAGGATCAGAAGGTTTTTCAATCTGGAATGGCCCCCCATTCATCGACAATCAGCCTACTCCCAACAAACTCGAAAAGGTTGCTTGCACCAGTACAAAATTTAGTGATGATGGATCCAAATTGTTGGTTACGAAGTCTGAAACTCTGAGCATTTACGAATGCCGTGATTTCAGAGAGATTAAGTCTTTTGAAGTACCCAATTTGCTTGCGGCTGCCTTGTCGCCATGTGGTACTTATCTACAGACCTTTCAAAAATCTTCAACGCCTCAGGAAAAGAATGTTGTTCTCCGGAAGACTGCCACTGGTGATATTGTATACTCTCAATTTCAGAAGAATATGACCAAATTGACATGGTGAGCGGTGTCTTGTCTCTATGATGATCTACTTTGGTATATTGATTACATTATAGGCTTGGTCTTTCTCATATTTAGCTTATAATGTTCAAGATAATCATCTTAGAAATGACATTTATACAACGTTTAGATTCCTTAGTGGGTATTCGCTTTCGAATCCTTGTGTTTTTGTAAAGATATTTACAATTTCAGACACTCTTCTTCCTCTAGGCCTGCAATTCGATTCAGCTCTGATGAAACTGTTGCCTGTCGGATGGCTACTAATGAGATACAGTTTTTTGATGCTAAAGATTTCTCCAAAGGAGTTATTCATCGGCTAAGAGTTCCGGGAGTCACTGCAATTGAACTCTCAAGGACACCTGGAACCCACATTGCAGCCTTTGTTCCTGAGTCCAAGGTTGGGGTTTTTAATGATGTTTTGCCCATGGAGATTCACAAACTCCACCATTGTAGTGGTTTATTGTTTTGTATTTATGCAGGGGGTTCCTGCCAGTGTCCAAATCTTTGGTTGTGGAGATTCACAAACCCAACTGATTGCTCGGCGAAGTTTCTTCCGTTGTTCAACGGTTCAGCTACACTGGAACAATGGTTCTACTGGGGTTCTAATTGTTGTGCAAGCAGATGTAGATAAAACCAACCAGAGTTATTATGGTGAATCAAAGTTAAACTACTTGACGACCGATGGGGCTCACGAAGGACTTGTACCACTTCGTAAGTACTAAGTTCCTTTTCTTCAAATATTATTTGCGTTGCATTCTAACAGTCTAACCTACTATTATTGACATTGAAATTTCCAAAGAGAAAGAACTGATTATTAAGGATATTGGCAGGTAAAGACGGGCCAGTTCATGATGTGCAGTGGACACAGAGTGGTTCAGAGTTTGCAGTAGTGTATGGATGTATCCTTCTTATTGTACCTTATTGCAGAAGGGGATATTGATCTTATCTTTCATAATGAGATTGCAGTCTGAAATTGAACACTCCGTTATAATAAAGGATAAGAGTATGGTATCACGATGATGATACACATCATAGTCTAGGAGATCATCTGTCACTAGTTCCCGTCTATTATGGCCAAACTACTTCAACTGTTGAATTCTGAACTCAGTTTCAGTTGGCTTATTTCTATCTCCGTGTGCTTTGCCTTGTGTTGTAGGTGGAATGGTTAAATATAATGAGGCAAACTGGCCCAACGAGTGCTAGATTAGTGAACTTGTTGGATCGTGCATCTTCTGTTATTTAAATATTTTACATGAAGATGTAATGTGTCCAATGTCTTCTCTGCCTGGTCGTTTCTTCAACATCGTTCATATATGTACCACTCGTTTTAAATCCAACAACGGATCCCTAAAGGTCTTCAACATTTCCCCAAGGACAAATGAATATATACAAAGAAAAGTTAATGTTGGTAGAATCTCTTGTTGTACCTTGGGATAATTAAATAATAAATGACATCTAAAGGCATCTATTCTTTCCCTTGAGGCTGGAGGTTTAAATCTCCAACCCAAATTGTTGTACTCAAACAAAAATAATGAATGACATCTAAATTCTTGCATTTTCCTTCTGCTAGCTATGATTTCTCTTTACCCTGCACTTGTTGTTCCTTGACAAAAAATAGTTATGCCTGCAAGAGCAACGGTGTTTGACAAGAAGTGCAAGCCTCTTCTTGAGCTCGGAGAAGGTCCCTACAATACTGTTCGATGGAATCCGAAGGGGAGACGTATCCTATTTTGAATGCTTTCTGCTTTTGTCTTTCGGATATCTATATATGCTTTCTTCATTTTGTTTTGGCTGTTTCCCCTGTTTCTTGTTTCTCCTCTCTTCCCTTCTTATTTCATTCTTTCAAGGGAGGAACTACAACGAATTTCATTAATATTCTTTTGATCATACGATCTCATGTCTGCCATAAATTTAATTTAAAGGATTTGTGACCTTAATTCTCTGGCCTGCAGTTCTATGTATAGCAGGATTCGGTAATCTGCCAGGTGACATGGTATGTTAATTTGATTCTTTGCGTTCTCTGTCTCATCTATTTATTATGTGTTGAATGAAATGCACGAGTACTCTTTGTTGTTTGTGGCATGTTTCTCTTCACTTCTTTCAAGATTATTTTTTTAAACTACATTGCTGTTGCATTAAAATCTCCTGTTTTCTAGCTTGTCTTTCAATAGAATTACAAGTTTCAGCAAAAGTAAACATTTTTCAGCTTATCAAACTATGCTTTGTGAATGAAACACTTCTTTCAAGACTATTCAAAGCCAATTGATATTAGAGTATATACGTGTAGCACCAACTTACATGTATTGTGTATTGCTTTCCATTTTAATGACTACTCTTTTCCCAAACGATTGAAGCGTTTTAAGTTTTTCTTTTTTAATTACTTTAGGTCTGAAATTGTTGAGTGGATCTGAGTGTTCATATTACATGAAAGTGAATAAGTTTCTCTTTGATTATGTGAATCAGTCTTGCGCTCATATTATTTTGTTCTTCTCTTTCCTTTTCTTGTCCTCCCATGATTGGAGGAAATGATATTCATATATATACATTCATATTTACAAATCTTCTGTTTGCAATAATCTTTAACAGGCATTTTGGGACGTCAAGGAGAAAAAACAGCTTGGAACAACAAAAGCTGAATGCTCTGTTACCAGCGAATGGTCTCCTGATGGACGCTATTTCATGACTGCCACAACTGCTCCAAGACTTCAAGTTGACAACGGGTACACAAATTTTATTCATTGGCGTGCTGATACGCACAGAGATTGTTAGTGCTTATAAATGAAATAATGCAAAAAGAGAAACTTTAAAAGATGCTTAAGGCAACTTGTGTAACCATTGAAGAGTATATATCACTGTGTGATCTTATTTCGAGGGCGGTTCATTTTTGCTGACATTTAAGCATTCAAATTTCGACCCGTTCAATATTCTTGGTCTCCCAGTCCATGCACACGGGAGACTCTGCTTAGCCATAAATAAGTTGATATCATTGTTGTCCTATAGGATAAAGATTTTCCACTGCAATGGAACTTTATACTTCAAGAAAATGTTTGATAAGTTATTCCAGGTAAGAGCTGTTCATCTTTCATTTATAAAGACATTTAACATGAATACTCCTTGCTGTTTTCCTCATGCATATGCTTCATGCAGGCCGACTGGAAGCCAGAGTCGCCAGATAAGTTCGGTGAAATTGATGAACTAGTCAAGTCAGTAGAATCACTAAATATAGATCAAAAGAAAACACAAGGTTCCATCTCGAAACTGTAATCTTATGTCTACCTGCCTATACATTTATCCAGTCCAATTGAGCAGTTAGATTCTTCCAAATCCAGGGCAAGGGTCAAAACTCTCACAAGCATCGCAAAAAACCGCCCCTTCGAACCCTCCTGTTCAGAAGCCTGCTGCATATAGGCCTCCACATGCGAAAAATGCTGCTGCTATTCAGGCAGAGGTACTGGTTTTTAAGTTCCGCTTGCTTTTCATCCAAGTGAAAGGCAATTATGATTAGATTTAAAGATTTCCAAATCAAGCTCTTATATGCTAAACTTTCTGTAATACAGTTGCTTGGAGAAGGCCCTAAAGAGTAAGTCCATTCATTATGTATATTTCATTTATCATATTCTTTAACATGCCAAATTCTGGGATTAAATAAATTTGTGAGTTAATGTAGATTGAGCAAGAACGCACTGCGGAATAAGAAGAAAAGGGAGAAACAAAAGGAGAAGAAGGCGGGTGAAGGTGCCTCAACAGCCAATGATGTGTGAAAAAATGCAGGATACAACGAAGAATTCATTTGCTGTATGCTTCTTCTAGCATTTGCTCCTGGAGAATTTGAGTTGAGGTTTAGCTTTCTCAGAAATGCCATTCAACATCTGATTCAAATGAAATATTAACTGCCAAGGGAGACATTTGGTACGTTCAATCCTTCAAAAATTTTGAGAAAAAAAATTTAAATGTTATACAAGTCTTAGAGTCTGTTGAGTACTTAGCTTTCTTCATGCCTGTATGGCTTTAACCGTCCTGAGCTGCAGTTATCCGGTTGGAATATACTATCTAATGAGTTGAATGAAGGAATAAGCCGTTTGGATTTCTCTCTGATTTTATATATATATGTGTGTTCTAGAGGTGTATTTTGGAAATGCTTTGAGCCAAACTAGGTTAATAGCATGGTTTATCAACGGAAATCATGTTTGGCTCTATATTCTTAGACGCAACTATGTAGAAGCTTAAATGCGAGGTAGTCCCAACCCGTCCACGGGAACAATTTATTCTCGGGACATTATCGCTTTGATGAATCATGACAAGTTAACAAATCAAATCAGAATCCTGTTCTGTTTCATGTAATTCTTCAAGAGAAGCTCATGGGACATTAACAACCTCGAAAAAGTTACATGGGACTCACTAGAAACTACAAATTCAAGCAAGATAGAGCTTGGCTTAAACATCTAGCAATGGATCGAAAAAACAACCTCCAAACGACAATCAAGCTCTTTAGGAATTATGTATGCAGGGCCCAAAATCTTAAATCAGTGTTCCAAGTACCTTGCGCACTAGGATTTTTGGTTACATGTCTTGTCCTCAGTTTTAAGACCTTTCGTCCCAGTGCATTCCTTAGTCTGGTTGCATGTAAATGTATGTCTTCCGGATCCATGTTCTTCACACATATCACCCGATGATTACTGCTTTCTGTAAAAGAGAAGGAATACGGGAAAACCCAATGTTAAAAGTACTTTGAAAATTATAACTACCAAAAGGGGAGAGAGAGAGAGAGAGAGAGAGAGAGAGAGAGAGAGAGAGAGAGAGAGAGAGAGAGAGAGAGAGAGAGAGAGAGAGAGAGAGAGAGAGAGAGAGAGAGAGAGAGAGAGAGAGAGAGAGAGAGAGAGAGAGAGAGAGAGAGAGAGAGAGAGAGAGAGAGAGAGAGAGAGAGAGAGAGAGAGAGAGAGAGAGAGAGAGAGAGAGAGAGAGAGAGAGAGAGAGAGAGAGAGAGAGAGAGAGAGAGAGAGAGAGAGAGAGAGAGAGAGAGAGAGAGAGAGAGAGAGAGAGAGAGAGAGAGAGAGAGAGAGAGAGAGAGAGAGAGAGAGAGAGAGAGAGAGAGAGAGAGAGAGAGAGAGAGAGAGAGAGAGAGAGAGAGAGAGAGAGAGAGAGAGAGAGAGAGAGAGAGAGAGAGAGAGAGAGAGAGAGAGAGAGAGAGAGAGAGAGAGAGAGAGAGAGAGAGAGAGTTATGAGTTCAGTAACTATTTGTAGCTGAGGATTTCTCTTTAAAAGTTGGCAATTCTGAGTCCATAAATGCCCTGCAAATTCAATGATAACATCCAAATCGTTCAGGAAAATATGTTCGGCTGTAAAAGCTACATATTGGTAATAGTAACAACAACCGAACATAACTATATATCAAGAAATTCCAAAGAAACTGAGATGCAATATTTCGGCTGTGCTGTAAGGTAAGCAGGCTAGATGCCCCACAAAATTTCCAAAAACAAAACTATCATAGGACTACCTCCAAAATAGCAACCATTTCAACAAAAACGTCTCAATACATAATTGCAGACCATCTCTCAATGAACTCCCCCATCCTCCTTCTAACCCCTACCCACAAGAAATTCCTCGTTAACGTTTCAACGTTCTGACTAATCAAGACGGGCATCCTAAAAAGATTGCAATTACACTCAACACATTGAATCAAGGTTAATCTTGACTGTTTTTGAAGTTTCTCCACCACCAGGTTTCAAAAACACACAGATCTCGGATTATCTCCCAAAGAAAGATCGAAGTAAGATCCAAGAAGCTGACTCGCTTCACACCCCACCAAACAGACCCAATAAGTAATTTTAGAAGACTCTCAGTTCACTCCATTGTTAATTTTTGGGCCTTAATTAGCTTCAAAGAAGAACATAAAACCATTGAGTTTCCTATTGGAATTCTCCTTCTCTAAGCAGAAAAAAAAGAGTGTCATCATCTACAAATTGAAGGTGCGACAAATGCACTCTACCAGAACCTATATAGTGATGATTCATGCGTTAGTAGACAAGGTTGCTAGTTAATATAAGTATGAATTTGAGATAATTATGCTGGAAAATGAAGGTACAAACTACTTCCAGGTTAAAACTTAGGTCTCCATCAGTTAAAAGTGAATTCTCAGTAATGAAATAAGAAATCCAACAAACCTGATAATACCCCTGCTGCTTCCTCCCCAGTCACAATAGCTGACAATCAGCTTCTTAAGCTGCCATACACCTTGGAAAGCCATCTATATTCTGCAAAAAGGAAAGGCATCTATATTATGCCTAGCTAGTTCATACGCATTGATAGTTTCTTCTCTATTCAAGAAGACTCAACACCATTAATTCAATTTTTTTTTTTTCTTTTCTAAAATTGAAAGCAATAATTTCAATCTTAATAAATGATTCGTTCTTGATTTTCCTTCTCCGTAGGTGAACAGAATAAACCAACATAATCCAACGAAACAAATAACAATAAAACCTTGGGAATTTGGAAAACGAGCGGCGGCGGCGCGATCGCACCAACGGCGAACCACTGGGTTTCTGGGGAACAGAGATTAGAAACTCTCGGAAGGCTGAGACTGTGGCAGCTGAGAGTGCGGCGGCGGCGGCTGGTAATGGAGTGGAGGGGGTGGCTGAACGTGAAAGAAAGGGGGTTTAGAAGAAGAAAGCTAAGAATTAAAAAAATAATAATAATAATAACGACATTAGAATGATTTTTTTTTTTTTTTTTGCTAAATTACAGAAAAATATTCGTATTTTAAAAATTATTTTTATTGACAAAATTACTCTTTAATTTTTCACACATTTAAAAACTACTTAGCAATAGAAAAATTTTACAAAATTGAATAAAATTGGAGACTTAGTATAATAGCGACGTGGAACAGGTATTAAAACAAATTAGGAGCTGGGATTGCAGGAACTTCACGATCATACCATTACCGTCACACCAGTTCAAATTCTTAATTTCGTTTAAGATTCTAACGAGTTTCTATTTAATAGTAGTTTTGAAATGTTTATGAAACGTCAAGAGTAATATTATATACATCAACGACCAAACTATTGTCAGGAGATCTTTAACATATGTGGTGATCGGGAAGGCATCCGAGTATTGAGACGAGAAGAAATATGTCGAAGGAGGCAACTGAACTGAGGGGCTGCTATATAAAGATAGCAACCATGCCCATGTCCACATTTTAATTTATAATGAAACATATTAATTTATAAATCAAAGTGTTATACATTATTTGTTTACACGTTCATAAGAATATGAACGCCAAAAGGATGGCCAAGAACTAAAAGAAAAGAAGAAGAAGAAATGAAATAATAATAAATAAAGAACTTGGGAAAGAAAATGAATTTTCTATCTTCTTTCACCGATCAAGTGTTAGTGTCCTGGGCCACTAGGACTTGGTCCGGAAGATAACTTGCCAAGCCAACACGAGACAGTTTCCTTTGCTTTTTGATAAACTATCGAATATGGGTCGATATAATCAACACCATGATTGGAAGTCTCAGAGAGTACTCGTGCTGCATCTATCGTACTAATCTGGCTCAAAATGATACCGAACACAACACAAACGATGAAAAACGAACGGATCTTTTGAAACTTCATGATGCTAAAAAAAAAAGGCAAAGATAGAGAGCTGTTTGGGCTTGGCTTGTGTGATTTGGAAATGGGTTAAGATTTGGAGGGGTTTTTATAGTGAATGGAAGGGAGGGTTTTTGAAGAGACTGATTTTGACCAAAGAATAAAAAGGTGGAATTTTTAGGGTATTTCTGGGAAATGGGATACACACACCGGTTTTGATTTAATGTATCAACTTTCAACCTTCAACTTTGAATACTTCACTAACTCTTCAAATGTGTGTGCAAAACAATTTTGACTCATCTTACGCATCAAATGAGACCCAAAATCATTGAAGTACATCATCTTCCTCGATCGTCCTCGATGGTCACCTTTCAATAACTCCCTTATTTATGTGCGAGGAAGCGGACAAGTTTTTGAAAATGCCAACCAATTTGTCTCTTTCATCCTTTCAACATGGAGGTATCTCGCTCTACTTCTGAACGTTGCCTAACTCAAACAAAGTATACCAAAAAACGAAACTATTACCTCAATTCACCACAAACGTACTAGCTATTCACTATGAAGTATCGATAAAATGTTGTAGGACCCTACAAGTTAGGATAATTTCCAAACAAACCCCTGGTAGAGAAAGGAAACACAGCCGAGAAAGCAAATGTATCAGTCCAAGCTCACTGCTAGAAAGAAGTTTTCACACCCTTATAAAGAATGTTTCGTTCTCTTTTCCAACCGATACGAGATCTCACGATTGAAATGCCTCTTAATTGAGTTTACAGAAACACCGTCAAGCTTTCCAAATGAAGAACACCTTATTTCCTCACTTTGGAGAAGCTGCCTTAATCAATCTGAAGCATATTCTTATTAAAACATACAAATCTGTCTCCATCATCATATCCATGAAGTCCTTCCCACATATATATCACAATCTCCCATTTACTCAGTTTTCCTGCTCAACCAAGAAGGCTTTCGGTATTAGAATCCCTTCCCCAAGCCCTCTCCTTCCAAATCCTCTCCACCTCCTCGAACGTGAGTCCCTGCGTCTCGGGAACGTACATGACAACGAACAGAACTGCGAGCACAGCTATGCCTGCAAGGATGAGGAAAGTTGGGCCAGTTCCAGCTACTTCAGCGAGCGAAAGAAACGTTTGAGCCACAATCAAATTCGAAACCCAATTGACTGTTGCTGACATGCCACTACAGATCCCTCGATAAGCCTCGGGATATATCTCAGAGTTCATGGTCCACGGCACCGGTCCCATCCCAGGGGCAAAGAAAGCAATGTAGAGAGCTAATCCAATTACTGCAATCCATCCATCTAGACCATTTGTTGAACCAGATTGACCAACAAAGAATGCCCCAGAGAGAATGGCAAGTGATACTATAACGCCAGATAAGCTTGAAATGGCAAGCTTCTTCCTCCCGACGTGGTCGATCAGGTAGATTCCGAGAACCGTTCCAGCAGCGTTCATGGCAGCGATAATGAGGGATAGAAGGAGCGCTAACTCGTTGGAACGAAAGCCAGCCATCTGGACGATAGTTGGGCTATAGTACATGACTGTGTTGATACCAGTGAACTGCTGAAATGCCTGCATTTGCAATTACATTTACTGAAACAATCCTTACACGGATAAATTCAGAATCTCATTCCAACCAATTTCTTAATACAAACAATGTCCCAGATATGATTCGAGCGGACGGAAACGACTCCAAATTTAAAAGCATGAAGAACACTTGGTGCTATTTCAAAAGTGTTGGTAGGTTCGTTCGAGATACTGTTCTCACGAGCACTCCAAACATACTTTTAGCCTTTGCAATGCATTCAAAACTACAAATTTGAATCCTACTATAAGTCAGGAATTGTACCTGAAGTCCAGCCCCAGCTAAAAACGCAAGTCTGATCTCTTTTGCTTTGAACACATCCAAGTAGCTTATGTTTTTCACTTTACGCCGTTCTTCCTCGAGTTGAGAAGAAAGATAATCAATCTCATCTTCTAAACGAGGAAAATCATAAATTTTAGAGAGAACAGAAATGGCTTTGGATTTGTCACCCTGCAGTTCATGAAATATGATGTTAACTAAATACGTGAAAGAACCGAACCGACACAAATTAATGACAATAATTATATGCACCTTCATAAAGAGCCATCTCGGAGACTCTGGCAGAAAAAGCATACAAGCAAACTGAATCACAGCTGGAACACCGGAAACTCCTAGCATCCAACGCCATGTTCCGGGGACCTGACCAAGTGTGTCACCGCTTCAGAGAGTCAATGTGACATTTCAAATTCCAAAATACAGAGTTCTGGACTAATTGTGCCAGAAATTGAGTTTTCCATATCCAGAACAAGGGATTATAAGGCATTAATATTTACTCTAGATTATAGTAGGCAATAATTCTCTGAAATTCATAGTTGCTTGATGAGTAACTAAACAAGATAATGTTCTATAGAGGTATCTTACTGATATAAGAATCGGAACCCATGGTTCCTTAGGACCCTTATTCATCATTAGTTTAGTATCATCAACCAAATAATAAACTTTGTTTCCTCGAATTTATACCCCTGCAGGCAAGTTTATGAGAGAGTTTATGTATTTCACAAAAACAAGAAATCTGGCGGAATTGAATCAGTTTATGGTTAAAAGATCTAATTATAACTTTTAAAGAACATCAAAGCAAGCAAATCTTTTGAATGGAAACCAAAAATTCTTCAATTTAAAAGAAAAAAATGAAGAACACCTCAACTAAAACACTTTTTTTTTTGCAAGAAAAGAACCTATGAAGGCAGGGTGATGTACAATTACAACTCAGAGAAAGAAGGAAGCAGCTTAAGTTAGGCATGAAAGAATGGAACAGGTCCCTTTCACATGTTACTCAGTCGAAATCTTAAATTAGCATCTCGAAATTCTATCTTGATGCCGCCTCTTCGAACTGCAAGATGAAAACCTTTCATTCGAGTAAATTATAGAGTAATGAGCATCAATAGCACAATGCTCGGCAATGCACTACAAACTAAATTACCGTATAACAGTATCTCTCAACAACAGCCTATGCATCAAATAGTGATAATGGACACAGTTAAGTCAAATATAGTTTTACGTACAAGTATTTTCTTAACTGTTCTAGTTTCTAGAAATATTTTGCCGCACTCGGAGTGCTTCCAATCAAACTTTTTTTTTTTTTTTTTTCTTAATGAACCAATAAACTTTGCTCTGGCAATGAAGAACAATAAGTATAGCAAAGATCCCCTGCATCATAGCCATACCAAGTATGTTGACATTAGGAAACAACATTTTGTTGATACGATGAAATTCCAATGAGCTATGAGGGAGGATAAACTATAATTATACAAGGGCCCTGAGCCTGAACTAGTCCAATGAACTATGACGAGTTCAGAAATAATTAGATCAGTTGCATTAAACTCATCTTGTTTTCCAATTAAGTTTTTCGGAAATTTCAAAATTGATAAGATTCATACAGAACTGTTAGCAGAAAACAGGTCAAAGATTGCTTCATTGTTACACGCGACCAAACAACTGAGGCGAAAAAAAATACACTACAAATATTTCATCCAGAGTTAGTTTCATGATCAATCTTAGAAAGATTCTGCTAGATACACCCATCAAGCCATGCCTTTTACCAAGTATATAAATTTCTCTATCTGAAAGAGAACAAAGCGAAGTAGTGTCATACAATCACAAAAGAGGTGGCAATGAGATAAGCCTAACCTGGGTAAAAGCAAGGTTTATGAGGTAGGAGAGAAACTGTCCACCAGTTATCATTAGCACATTAGTGCTGACCAGTCCACCTCTTATTTCAGATGGGGATGATTCTGCAATGTATACTGGAGCTGTGACAGATGCCACGCCCACGCCAATTCCAACTAGGAATCGTCCTGCTATAAGAATATATGGATCTGGAGCTGCAGCCATTACAACAGCACCAAGTACAAATACAACATCAGCAAGAAGGGTTGCCTTCTTCCGTCCATAAACATCATTAATCCAACCCCCAGCAGCAGCTCCAGCAATTGCACCAAGCAAAGCCATACTCACAATTGTTTCCTGCCATTTTTCTTAACTCATGATTCCACTATAAAAAGAAGCATGTATGTGGAGGAGGAACTAGAAAAACATGACAGAATATTTGGCTCTCAGTTTTAACAAGGAACTTTGAGTTTGTGTAATCTGCATAAGGATTGTTTTGTACTTAGGTTCGTATAGCTAATGTTCGGTTCGTATTATAATTTATAAAAGATAGAATAAGAGTTACTCTTTTGTAACTACAGTTTATCTTCTCTGATATCCTACTGGGATAGCTTTTTTGTAATCTTGTCGATAGGATTCTCCTTCTCTTGTTATTGCATCCAGTCAATGAAATAGTTAGTTTCATATAAAAAAAAATTATAGAAGATGGATTTCACAAGTCTAGGTTAGTTTAACCTATGAAATCAATAAACCTATAGCTTGGGGTGAAGAAACCCACATCCCAAATATAAGTTTGTCTTCTAAATCACAAGTTACCAAACTTAACCCGTGAACAAAACACCAGTAACAGCCCAAGCCCACCGCTAGCATATATTATCCTTTTTAGGCTTTCCCTTTTGGGTGTCTCCTCAAGGTTTTTAAAACGCGTCTACTGAGGAGAGTACTAGGGAGAGGTTTCCACGCCTTTATAAAAAATGCTTCGTTCTCCTCCCCAACTGATGTGGGATCTCACAATCCACCCGAGGGGTCCAACGTCCTCGCTGACACTCGTTCCCTTTTCTAATCGATGTGGGACCCCCCAATTCACCCCATGCGGGGCCAGCATCCTTGCTGTTACACCGCCTCGTGTCCACCCCCCTTCGGGGCTCAACCTCCTCGCTGGCATATTCCCAATGTCTGGCTCTGATACTATTTGTAACAGCCCAAGCCCACCGCTAACAGATATTGTCATCTTTTGGGCTTCTCCTCAAGGTTTTTAAAACGCATATGCTAGGGAGAGGTTTCCACACCCTTATAAATAATGTTTTGTTTTCCTCCCCAACCGATGTAGGATCTCACAACACAGTTCGAGAGGAAGGGGTAGAGAGAGAGAGAATGGAAAAGTGAGGAAAAAAATGGAAAAAGAGAAGGCAGAAAATTAATTCCAGAATTCAGGATGTTTACCTGAAGGAAACTACTGTTTCTGACGGCCTCAAAATCATCTTTAATATAAAGAAGAGCTCCGGATATCACACCTGCAATCAGCAATCATTTCTAGCTCAGACTTGGAACTGAAGGCAGCTAATTAAAAAACCAGTAAAGTAGAGAATAAGGGGGTAAACTGCAGATCTTATTCAACATGCACTTCGGTTTTCACAAATGTGGTTTAATCCCAATTTTAGTCATGCAGTTCATTGGGTCTTATAATCACAAATGTATAACAACAGCCAGGAAAGGGATGAGGTAAAATTTTGTTTGCATTGCAATAGATAGACCTTGGTTTGGGTGCAGTTTATCAGAAAAGAGCCATCGAGTTTCAGAGCTCGATTACAAATCAAAAGAGAGTTAGGAAGACTATCCTTATAAAAATTAAAAAGGGTGGTGCTCAAACACCAGAATCTAGTAGAGGATAAAGAACTTTAAATATGCAAGAACAGACCATTCATCCATCAAAACTCGAAATGAAGTAAACCAACATAAATGTGCACCTGCCTAGCACAAGATATTATCTAATCAAAACAAATTATTGATTCTTCTTGAAAGATCATTCTTCTGTATTCCATATGAATGAAGAAGGAACTGGATTACAGAAAAGTAAGAGCAGCAAATCTCGCTGTTTGGAGATACAAGAACAAGATTACAAAAATTTCTACCATGTTAGACAGAAGAAAAAACTGGAACACAAAGAATCGATAGATTTAAACAACAGAAACAGTTGATCGATTGAAGATTGTACATCACCTGTATCATAGCCAAAGAGCAACCCACCAATACCAGCAACCACCGTTAATCCAAGCACGTAAGGATTCTTAAAATAATACATTTTCCTCTCAGGGTAGATATCCAAGTACCCAGAGCTTCCAGGCAGCGATTCAAGCGTGAGCGTCATCGTTTACAAGGAACAAAGCCACGCAAGTGACTTAAACTCAGAGTCAGCGTCGTAAAACCCAGTAAAATCGAGTATTCAACGACCTACAGAAGCTAAAACTCGAACTCTTGAAGGGGAAATCGACTGCCTCTTGAAACTAGAAATCAAGCTACAGCTTCTGATACAGGGAATTGAAGGAAGTTGCAAGAGAGAAATTGAAAAATAGCCGAATCGAAATTACGGGAGCTGAACGAAAACCCAAGATTAAAAAGGATAGGGGATTCAATCGAACAGCAAACCACAAAGAACCAGCAAATGCAAGAGGACTACGGTTGAATCAAGATGATCAAATGCTACAGAAATGGGGATTTTGCAGCGGCGGATTTCCCCTTCGAAGCCTCGGATCATTGAAGGTAACAGAATCCCCAAAACAAACAGAAAATTTCCAAAAAGAAAACACGGACAATTTTGTTTTCTTCCCTCGCTATCTCTCTCCAGCTTGAAGCGAAGCCGAACCAATGGAAATTTGGGAGCGTAAAATTCAGTTTACAGGACACTTGTCTCACCAGCCCTCACTACAAACAAAATTGACACGAAGCCGTTCATTTCTTCTCTATCTCCCAGACTTTTTGAAATCTTTTTACAAAGAATTAAGTATCAAACTTCGTTGTTTGAATAGCTAAATTTCATATTCTCTCGGACAGATTTAGCCATTGATCTCTTGATCAATGATTGTGCGATTAGGTTAGGGTTCGCAAATGGATCGCTACTCTAGATTAGTGATATATTTAACATCATCCATATGAAAACAAGAAGAAAAAAGTTTATAAATCCAATAATTGTATGAAAGGATAGAACTGGAACGGGCTCTCTGTAATCATGGAGGAGATCGTGTCTGCAAATAAAGACGGGACAACAGCCAATTTGGATAAGAATCAAAATGCCTTCTTCTCCCATCCTCCTTTGAATTGGAGATTTTGTTCTCTTTCGGTGGGTATACATATTTATATCATAAATTTTGAAGCCCAAAAACTATAGCTTAAAAAAATGTCATAATATATATATATATATATACGCTAAATTAATAAAAATATTCATAAAATTTATACAGAGTAGAATTAACATCTTTTATCGTTATTAAGAAAAACATTCTAAAATTTTTTTTATTGTTAATATATGGACGAAAACTATCTACTGTCACATCATAGATTATCTTTAAACTTTTTAATATTAATATGATGAAAGTCTCACATATCCTAATTTAAGGAATATTCCTGGGTTTATAATTAAAGAATATTCTCTTCATTAGAATGAGGCTTTTGGGGAGACCCAAAGCAAACCTATGAGAACTTATACTCAAGTGGACAACATCATATCATTGTGGAGAGTCGTGTTCGTTCTAACATGGTATCAAAATCATGCCCTAAACTTAGTCATGTTAATAGATTGGTAAATCCTTAGATATCGAACAAAGACTCCAAAAGAACTCAAAAACCACTGTAGAGAGTCGTGTTGTTCTAACATTTTGAAACATAATGTTAATGCTAAATGTATTTTTTAATTTTTTTTTTTTAAGTTTAGAATATTTTTAAGATAGAGGAAAATTCAAACATAATTTTATTAATTTAGCCTATAATGACTCACATTTTTTAAATTTAAAATTTTAGTTGAATTACCGACTTAATTATAATTCGAATTAAGTCGTTTAAATTTTAACTTAATATATAGATTAAAGTAATAATTAATAACAACAAAAGTGTAATAATAAAGGATGAATTAAAATTACACGTTTATTATTATAAACCTTTCACTCCAAAAAACATAAATAATAAATAAATACATGTCAAATTACAACCACACGTTTGGTTTGAGGATAAGCATCCAGAAAATGCCAAATTATGATGACGTGTCAGATAGAAAGAAATCAAATGTCACGATATTAATATATCCAATATTTTAATATATTTTAAATAATCAATAAATTTATACCCTCTCTCACGTGAACTAGAACTATTAAATTACTGAAAAAAATTGCTCTAATTTGAATGTAATCTCAGTTCATTCATATACCTCTCATTTACTCGAGTGTCATATTATACGTCGAAACTGGTAATTTAGATTTACATTATGCTATGGTATTGTAATTTGATAAATTGGTTTCAAAAAACTAACCCAACTCAACCCAACTCGAAATACTAATTCAACCTAACTCAACTTCTACAATTGGAGTTGGATCGATTCAGGTTGTCGGGTTCATATACACTCCCAACTCAACAACACGGAGATAATTGAGAAAAAAATAATAATAAAATTGACGTCATGGATGACGAAAAGTTGAAAGGAAGTGATGGTGAGAGAGGGAGGGAGCAATTTCCAAAATCCTTTGCCCTAATTTTTTCTCTCTCCCACAAAATCTCCCCTTTCCATTTCTTCGTTCTTCATTAAAACCCTTGACCGTGACATTCACAATTTTTACCTAATACTAATAATAAATTAATAATATTATATTATATTTTTTCAACCCTTATTTATTTATTTATTTATTTATATATATATATATTTAACTTTTAGCGCTATCGATCAATTATTGAATTATAAAGAATTTCAAAGCTTGCGATAATTTTAAAATCGATAAAGATTAGAAAGTGTAGCAAAAACAGTTTTAGTTTTAGCTGCTAATGTAACATAATGATAGATGAGAGCAATAACAACGTAGCAAAATATCTAGCAGTGGAATATTCATTTTGTTTGCATGGAATAATAATAAAAAATACAAATATTAATTTTCTGTTATTGATTAATTTTGTTGTTAAACCGAAATTATGTGTATTGCAAATAAAGGGGAATCGTAGCCTTGATGGGTTAGGTGTGTTGGGTCAATCGTTATCCTCGTCAACGGGCATCAGAGAAAAAAAGGATACACACAAAGTTTGAGGGGACAATGTTTGTGACAGATGGACCCAACGTCCTTGCTGGTCTGACTTTGATATCATTCGTAACAAACCATAACTTACAAGGGTGTGTAAATTTCTCCTTTGACGGTGATACGTAATTGGTCGAAGCAGACAATATCTATTAGTGGTAAGCTTGAGCTGTTACAACCGATCTAATCGGAGTCTCTTTCATAGAGATTACTTCAAAGACACAATTTTCAGCCCTAGGGCTGGGGGGCATTTTAGGTATTTTGATATAAAACCAATTAAAATAAAATATCTTTTCACATTCAAAAGGTGACCTTTTTGTCCCCACAGCCCCACCACTCCCACTCATGACTCATAACATGGCAGCAAGCAAATCATGCCTCCTCTTTGACCAGATCCCAACTATGATCTGATGATCAAATGCTGACATCATCACAACTTTCAACGGTCCAGATTACAGATACACGTACTCCCCCGCTGCATGCGATTGTGACCCCGAGATGTACGGATTTAGCATATTAATACGTAGCGGTGAGATATTTATATTTTAAAGGAAGTTGGGCCCCACCACCAAGTCATGTGCCAACTCAACAATACAACATTCTAGATATTTTCTTTTTTATTTGCAAATGTGGGTCCCTCTAAATTTTCAGTTATTCGCATTTTGGCCCCCACGGTAATATTTATCTTTATTTTATATTTAAGTTTAGAGAATATTAAAAACATTATTTTAGTCGCTCGTCCAATTTAAGTATTTAATTATTAATTTTAAATACTTTAAAATAAACTTTTACATAGTCGCCACGTATTAATCTTTGATGTGGTGGGGTCCACCGTTCCAACTAGAAATTAATGAAAAGTTCCAGATTTATGGGTGACTTGGAGGAGAAGAAAAAAAATTAATATAGTGGGGGCCAAATAATAATTTTTAAATTATAAGAGGCGTATTTGTAATTTTCATTAAACTTTGAGTAAAATGAAAATAAATAGAAATTAGATAGTTTTCATGGATGCCATGTGAAATGACGAAAGGGGGCATGAGAGATACAGCCGCGGATCTGCAAGCTCATCCTCCATTTTCGATTGGGCTCGGGATATTCTGCTGCTACCGGCCAAAGATTTCGCTCTGTTGCCGCTGATAGAATTTTGGATTAGGGTTTTCCGGGGATCTTCGCCGGCGACGAGAAATGGTTTGTTCTAAGTCCACGACTGGGGAGAGTGTCCCCTGTGATTTCTGTAACGAGCAGGTTGCGATTCTGTACTGTAGAGCCGACTCTGCGAAGCTTTGTTTGTTTTGTGATAAGCATGTTCACTCTGCGAACTTGCTCTCTCGGAAGCATGTTCGTTCTCAGATCTGTGATAACTGTAGGTCTGAGCCGGTTTCGATTCGCTGTTCGACGGATAATCTCGTGCTCTGTCAGGAGTGCGATTGGGACGCCCATGGGAGCTGTTCGGTCTCTGCTGCTCATGAACGAACTCCGATTGAAGGCTTCACTGGCTGCCCTTCGGCGCTTGAGCTTGTTTCGTTATGGGGCTTCGATCTTGGAGAAAAGAAGATGGAGGAATCCGAGATGTTGGTGCAAAATTGGGTGGGCTCGCAGGACTTGGTTATGCCGATTGATCATTGGGCGTGTAGAGCTAGTGCGACTGCTTTTAACGACCTCGTTGTTCCGAATGATAACCCTTATCTCTTCGCGAATCTCAACTGTACCGATGCTGCGTCGACGTTGAAGAGGCAAAATCCGAGCTGTGGAAAGCATAAGCAAGTGATTTACAAGCAATTGGTTGAGCTGCTTAAGAGGGATTTCGAAGGCGGCGACGATGGTGTTGATGAAACTCGCGATGGCGATGCAGGTGGTGAAGAGGTTGGATTACAGAATCTGGTTCCTGAAACAACGAATGGGGTTTGTTATTGGCAAGAGGATTTGGAAGCTCGTCAAATTCATAAAGAGGATAATGGGGTTTTTGTTGATGCTGCTGCTCCTCCTCAGCCGTTACTGCAGCAACAAACTTCCTTCACGTCTCTGCTAACGATGCCGCCTCATGTGGGTCTGAAAGAGAGCGAGCGCATTGGTGATGAAACTAACGTTTGTGATGGTAACCCAACTCGTCAAAGCATTCAAGTAATGTTTTCAATTACCTTTCCTTGTTTCTCTCTGTCGGTAACTTTATCGATTTTCAGCTTTTTCTGGCATGCCCATGTATCGTAGTTTGATAGCTATAATATAGCATTTTCTCCACAATTCTGTATATAGCTTTCCCCAATTCCAAGGAGCTCAGTTCGTACATCCAAGGACGCTGGTTGTAGCTTTTAAGAGTAGACTTACAGTCTTTTTCTGAGGATATGAATGGCCATTATATAGGAACCTGTGTTCTTTCTTCTAGACCCTCTGTTTGATTTCCGCTGTAATTTGAATTGCTTGAATAATTCTTCCATTTATTGCCATTGGTTGCTGTTTATCTGTTCTTAATCTGGGACAGTCCTTGTTTGAAGTTAATTGAACATTCCTAGTTCCTCTGTTTACTGTCAAATGAAGCTTTTTGATACTTATGATGTCTTAACACTTCTTCTTTTCCTTCTTTCTGTTTGTACTTTTTCTAGATTTGGGACTTTAATTTAGGACGCTTAAGGGGACACAAAGATTCGAGTTCATTTGAAGACGCCTATGGCACTGGCAACATGGGATTTACCATTAAGAATTTTGATGAGTTTTTTAAAGAAACATCCCCAACAAGCCCCAAGTTGCTAGGAGAAACCTATCAGATCAATTGCTCGAGCACACATGATGATATACCATCATTCAATGTAAGTCCTGCTCTGTTTTTCGCTTTAAGTATGTTCCTAGTTACTCATTATATCCTATTCTTGCGCATCTCTTTGAAGACTCATAAGTATATTTGGGGAGTTTCAAACATATCAACTGATGAAATAAAATATGCTTATCAAGGCATGCCGAGTATGCGAGAATCATCTAAACTAAACCATTTGTTGCAAACTACATTTCCCATGATAGATTTAGGATCGTAACTGCTGTTCAGAGTTAGGATC